AGAGCGACAAAGAGAAACACCTGACACTGATATGCCTCAAGACTGGATAATACGCCAAAAAACACAGACGAAATGAAGGAAGATCTGGGCAGGACACGTCTTAACTTTTAACTGAATAGTTTACTTTGGTAAAAAAAATATATCTACTGATAGGGAGTAACACATGCTGTGTGAACACTGTAAACCTGATTCGCATGGTGTGACTTTACTTGGGAGTTTGCTGTTGTGATGTCACTCATGCAGCGAAATATAGGCATGGGGGAAGCTGCAGTGCCCGACGTCACAGGTGTAAATTTGCAAGCGAAATTGCGCCATGTGAAGTGGGCTGATGCGTCGTCTGAACGCACTCCCCCAGAAACGAGCGTCATTGGCTCTGCAGACCGTGGAATTCTTTGTCATGTATTAGTAATGAGGGTGGGCTCACATGAGTTGTTATTCTAGGATTTCATCAAGACGGCATTGTGAATTTTCCTCTTTGCTTTTGTCTTGTAGCAGCCCATGACACTAGTCTTTTTCTAAGTTGGACTTGCACTCACAATGGACACAGTGAATTGCTAGGTGACCTTCTGGATAAAATACCAGGGTAACAACTCTTGTCTGAGGTGCACCCTTAGTGTCATTGTCTGACAGAATTTCACTCTCTGTGGAACTAGTGGCACTGGTTTCTGAGGAAGTGCATTTTGACCTTACAGTGTTCTGCCAGCAGGTGTCAGTTTTTATCTGTATAGATGCTTTTAGGGAGTCAGTTACTCGAGCTGCCACCAGTCGGCGCGCTTAACGGGCTGCCATAGCTGACCTTCATTTTGTCGCCGTTGCTTCGCATTGTGTGCTGCACCGGTCACCACCAGAGCTTTGTTTTCGTGTTCTTTTACGTTCCGCGTTGAAGTCGAGTGTTTTCTTTAGGTCTTTTTGATATTTCAGGCTTTCATTTATTCATTTGATACCTAAGTTTCAATATAGATGTATTTTCTTATTTATAGAATGGAATCGGACAGTGAATGGATCACGATACAAGATCATGGCCTAGGCTTCAGAGAACATGTAAGTTCATCACATTCTTTTGTTTTTGTCGCTAATAAAGGGCAGTCAACACCATTGCGACATATGAAAATATCAACTGACGCAGTGGGCTATCTCCAGATGCCCGTCGTTGGTTTGGCACGCAAAACCCCCAAATTTTTGGCAGTGAGGCTATCGCAGTCGTGCTTCTCGGTGCATGTGCGCGCTTTTAGACATTGTTTCCGTAGATAAAAGCCGGACCGCATGTAAGCGCTTTAGCAAGCAAGACGAGAGACAACGACGAGTCAGCAACGAAAGTTTCTCACTGCCACCCGTCGCGGCGCTCGGCTTTTTGATTTCTAGAAAACCGCATGAAAGCGATTTGGGGAGCAGCGAGACAAGCGACTCGCTTCGCTTTCGCTCGATCAGTCGCGCGACGAGGCAAACCGCACGCAAGCGACCAAAACGACGAGCGACGTTTTCTAGAAATCCAAAAACCGAGCGATGCAACGGGCGACAGCGAGAAATCTTCGTCGCTGACTCTCATCGTTGTCGCCGTTGCTCGTCTCGCCGCTCGCTTGAGCACTTACATGCGGTTCGGCTTTTACTTACAGAAACAATGTCTAAAGTTCGCACATGCAGCAAGAAGCACGACTGCGATAGCCTTACAGCGTCAGTTGAAATTTTTATGTGTCGCAATGGTGTTGACTGCCCTTATTAACGATAAAAACAAAATGTGATGAACTTAATGGTCTCTGAAGCCTAGGCCATAATCTTGTATCGTCGATCCATTCGCTGTCCGATTCCATTCCATAAATAAGAAAATACAACAGCGATGTTCAAATGTCGGTATCAAATGATTAAATGAAAGCCCGAAATATCGAAAGGACCTAAAGCAAACACACGATTTCAACGCAGAACGTAAAAGAACTCGAGAACAAAGCTCCGGTGGTGGCCGGTGCAGCACACAACGCGGAGAACTGCGAGAAACTGAAGGTCGGCTGTGGCGGCAGGGTCACGTGACGTCAAGGTGGCGGCGGCGCACCCATGAAATGTTGCCTGAAAGGGTCTATATGTATTTCTGTTTTTTTATACGAACCATTCAGTTGAAGGTTATGCAGTGTTCTGTCCAGATCTTCCTTTGTTGTGTCTGTGTTTTTTTGGCATATTATTCAGTGATGAATAGCCAACGTGCCATCTTAAGCCCCAAGACCATGCAGCATGCATACCAAGATATCTTTTGGCAGGCTTGCAATAACTTGTGCTTTTTTCATGAGCCTCGAAAAATGGGAAGCCTGCCAAAGGTATCTTCGTGTGCATGCTGAATGTATTTAAGTCGTGTCGGGGTCGGTTGTTGTTCCTCTTGGTTGCTTTAGTGGGACTCTCATCCCATTTTACATTGAAAGTTTATAATACAATTTCACAAAAATATTGCTCACATTCATTGTATTTATTGACTCAATATAATCAAGTCAGACTGAATGTTTTTCTGATCTGATTTTCTTTTGTGTCGTTTTAATTTCTAGGGAATTTGGTTTTTTGTGGGTTTATAGCTTCAGGGCTGTCAGTGGAAGTTGAGACCACTTTATATTGCAACCTTAGAGGTAGCAAGGTGTAAAGTTGGGCGAGTTGATTGGTGGTCATATTGAATGGGTTAAAACAGCGCAAAAAAGATTGACGAGTAAAAGGAAAGACAGCGCTGTGTTTGTGATTAAACATGAGGAAGATGCAAAGAAAGGCGTAACTGTGTCTGTGTTCCCTTTTACTGGTCCTTCGTCTTTTTAGAGGTAGGTAACATAAATACCAAAAAGTACTTCTATGCATTTAAAGAAAAGCAGATAGAAAACATTGTCTTTACAGTGAAGTTGTACTTATTGCTTGGTTTTACTATCAAGAGAATCAAGAATTCCCTTGCGGCAATTCAAAGTCTGCTTTCAAACGATCTGAGCAACCTTCCACAGTACTGTATGTTATACGTGGTGTTCACATTGAGGTGCTCTAACTGGCTTTTATTTTGCATTTACTGACAGTAGTATTCTACAAATGGAGGGAAATCATGTTTGTCACTGTCAAGTTCTGTAGTTCCTGCGTTATATATTCTCCTGCAGTATGAAAGACCCGGTGGGAGCGCCTGGCCGAGGCAGTGACTGGTGTGCTCTGGGAGATCCCAACCTACCCAAGGGGGAACTCACTTAGTGTTCAGCTAAAGTGCAATGCACACTTATCAGTTTTTGTGGTTCACGGTGGAGAGCAGTTCATTCACATTATGTCACAGCCACTAATTCTGAAATGGCTGTCCGAGAGAAACTGGCCCGAGTCAAGGCAATTATTTTCACTTCTAAAGTGCATGGTCCATGCCATCCTTCTGATTAATAAATCCGCTCATCAAGACATTTTATTTTTCAAATATGAGACTCGGGTGCAACATTAATATTTGTGCCTGTTTTCAAATTTTACACCAGAAACAACTGATAACAAAAACAATAATGAGCATGCTTACTTCGAGCCTCCATGATCATATCTGTGGGCGCAATGCCGATAAAGCACGCTCTTAGTCTAAACCTAAATCAAAAACTGTCCGCAAGTTCAGGACCAGTTCAGCCCCGAGTGAGCGTCCTTTCCTCGAGGCAGAACAGAATCTCGTGGAGCGCACATAGCGCCCCCGACCACGGTCATCTCGGCCACACGCTTTTAGTACGTCTTTTATATTGAAGGAGACTGAAGATACCACCAAGACCTTTTGGGTGGCCTTTCTGCTGTTATAATTTAATTAGGAGCATGATTTATAGTTTATGTGAAACATATTTACTAAACATGCATCACTGGTTATCTTGTTCCTTCTCCAGGTGCTGCTATCCAGCTCTACGTCACAGCCATGAAGTGGCCATGGGGTGAACTGTGTACAACTGCTGTCATTAGTACTCGAATCGGCAGAGCCACCTACTAGCTCTGAAGCGCAGTTGCCAGGCACCAGATACTCGACCAGCAACCAACCTTTGTCGCTCTAGTGGGACACGAGAGCGACAAACAGAAACAAACGACAGCTACAAGCCTCCAACCCATTCAGCATGCCCGTGGTGGTACTTTTGGCAGGCGGCGTTTATTCGTTCGGTGCTCGTGAAATAAGCATGAGTGATTCTAAGCCTGCCAAAGATACCCTCGCGTGCATGATGCTTGTGTTTAAGCATAGCCTCCTTTATTCTACAAAGCCTGTCAAATCGGGAAAGACTCGGGTTTGAGACTTGTCGTCATTTGTTTCTGTTTGTCGCTGCAGTGGAACTCGGGCATAAGCTAGCACCATGTACTGAACATGAAATAAAAAACCACTGTATCAAACTTGACTTGATTTTGCAGCTTCATTTGCATGCCAACTGCACAATAAATACAGCAGCTCGCGCATGTTTTCAACTTTCATTTTATTGTTTAAGTATTCTGAGAAAATTACTTTAGCAGCTCCATTAATCGTGGGTCACTAAATCCGGAACAAGGTAGCAACCAGTTTTTTTCTGCACACAGCACCAAAAACTGGAGATGTTTGACTATATCATATACCACAAAAAACATCCTTTGAATGACAACATAGACTTCCTTGGGAGAAGTCTGTAAATTCCCCGTATAGCCAAGATTGAATGACCAGAGAACTCCCACCCTGGCCCACACTGCATTTACACCGTTTTGCCAAGCTTGACTGACCACTGAACTGCCAGTGTGGCCCAGGATGCATTTAGACCGTTTTGCCAAGCTTGGCTGACCACTGAACTGCCAGCCTGGCCCACGCTTGTTTTACACCGTTTAGCCAAGCTTGGCTGTACAAGGAACCCCCACTGAACTGCCGGGCCGGCTAGCCAGGCTGGGGCTAGCTTGCCCCTTGGAGCAAAACGGTGCTTGGGCCAGGGAAACTTTCCCCGGCTGCCCAAGCAGGCTCAAGCTTGAGCCGGTGAATTGTGCTGCTTGGGTTGCTAACAAAATATGATTGCAGTTTTAAGAAAGACAAGCAGTACCTAACAAAATGTGAGAGCACTGCACAGTAAATTTTTTTTACAATTTCTTTTAAATTTTGATATTGATACATCAAAGTTTAATTCGAGTAAATCACGATTCAAAATTGTAGCATTCTGGAAGGCTAAAGTTTGTCGTCCATAATTTGTGCGTATTATAGGTACTTTACGTTTCGGTCGTCGAATATCGTACACTGGTGTTAGTTCACTTTCTAGCGCTAAGTAGGTTCTATTCCTGTGGATTAATTGAAGCAATTTAAAGTAGTATATTTGATTTGCCCTAAGCATGTGATGTTTTAAAAACAAAGGTTCCGTACGTAGATTCCTGTAATCCCCCTTGTAGTCCTCGAGCATACGTAAAATTCTTTTTTGGAGGACCATTAATTTATTATAGTTTGAGGCTGTTGTTGTCCCCCGGACCAAAATTGCGTAGCTTAATTTTGAAAGAACCAATGAGTGATACATATTTTTAAGCAGCCAAGATGGGATAAAATTTCTGATTTTATACAAATTGCCTATAATTCTGGACAGGTCAGCTTTTAACTTGTTTATATGAGTACTCCATGACAATTCCTCACTAAACCAAACACCAAGAAATTTTTGCTCGCGTACTTGCTCCAGTTCTAAACCTTCAAATTTGATACTTATACTATCGGCGTCCCGTTTATTTACTGGTTTAAAAATTACGTATTTTGTTTTGTTTGAGTTTAATTGCAGTCTATTTCCTTGAAGCCATTCTGACAGTTTTAAGAGATATGAGTTTGCGGCTAGCTCAATACTTTGTTTTGTTTTTCCACTAAAGAATATATTAGAATCATCAGCATACATGATTACTTCCTGCGGTCCAGATATTTTTGTGAGATCATTTATATATATTAAAAATAATAAGGGGCCTAAGATTGATCCCTGGGGAACACCATGTTGTATATTTAAGTGGGAGGAGGATATCTTATTAATTGTTACATATTGATATCGATCGGTTAAATAACTTTTTACTAGTTTTTGTGTGATTCCACGTATACCGTACCTACCTAGTTTACGCAATAATATTTCGTGCTGCACAGTGTCAAATGCTTTTCTTAGGTCCAGGAAAAGCCCGAGAGTATATAATTTACTTTCAATATTCGCAATTATTTTGTCTTTGATATCTAGAAGAGCTTGCTCCGTAGATTTATGCTTTTGGAATCCATATTGTGAAGACGTTATAACTTTGTGCTTATTAAAAAAAACATTCCAACCTATTCTTTATAGTAGTTTCGAAAATTTTTGAAAATATAGATAAAATAGAAATTGGTCTATAGTTGTTTATGTTGTTTACTCCCCCTCCTTTGTAGACAGGATGAATTCTGGCAATTTTAAGTTTGGAAAAATTCCGCTTTGTAACATTTTATTTGCTAAGTTAGACAGGACCGGAGTTATTATCGAGGCTACATATCTTATAGGTCGGGGCTTAATGTCATCTTCACCGGCCGCCGAATTATTTTTTAGATTTTTTATGATTTCATCAATTTCTGAAGTTGATACCGGGACCAACATTATAGAATCCATGAGGCTATCTATATTCACATTTTCGACAACACTGTTTATCTGTACTAGTGGGTACGCCCCTACATTTATAAAATGCTGATTCATCTTATCTGCGGCTTCTTTGCCGGTTACAATCTTATCTTGCAACAAAAATTCTTCTATAAGGCTGGCTTTTTGCTTTCTATTTGACATGTCGTTTATTGTTTCCCATATCTTACGTTGGTCGTCAAATATACACTCGAATTTGCTCTGATAGTACATACGTTTGGCTTTTTTTAACTCGGAGTTCAGCTTGTTTCTTTTCTTTTTGAATTCATGTAGCAGTTTTATATCACGAGTCTGAATGAATGCATGATACGTTTTGTTCTTATCACTTATTCGTTTATACATATCAGAAGTGACCCATGGCTTCCTCTGTTTTTTTTCCTGGGGTTTGCTGTTTTAAGGGGAAACGCTTCATCATAACACTTTTTGAACTTATTAAAGAAAATTGAGTAGGCTAAATCAACACTGCCCTCTGAACATGCGGCATTCCAGTCTGCCCTTTCTATGAGACTATAGAACTTCTCTAAAGATTCCGAGTTTATTTCCCTAAAAAAGTATGGCTCGTTTGTGTTTTGTTTCCTTTTAGAAACGGAGCTTAAACAATAAATAGGCAGATGGTCACTAATATTCTCAGTGAAGACACCTGACGTAGTATCCTTTTCTTCTAAATTAGTTAGACAGTTATCAAGCGTAGTCGCAGTTTCAGCAGCCACTCTAGTAGGTATCGTGATCAGATTTACACAAGCATATTGGGTTAAAAGGTCACTAAAGTCTCTCGCGTCTGAATCTTGAGAAGTTATGTTTATGTTAACGTCTCCAAGTATCATAAGTGAGGCACCGGTTGAACCCACATAACGTAGTAGTTCTTCTATGAATTCAAAAAAAGCTAACATGCTGCCCGAAGGTGGGCGGTACACTACGGCAATAACTGTGTTTTTGATTATAATTGTCATGCATTCAATGTTTATATCAAGTTTGCAGAAATCGTCAACAACTTCGTACGATATACTTTGTTTCGTGTAAATGGCCACACCTCCGCCTTTCCGTTTATCCCTGACAAGTCCGTCATACTTGTAATCTTGAATATTTGGGGCTGCGTCATTTGCTGATAGCCATGTTTCTGTGAAGAGAACATCGAATTTTACGCAAAGGGAAAAACAAAGTCGTTAAGATTATCTTCCTTGTTTTTTGTGCTTCTCGCATTTAGATGCATCACAGAAAAGTTTGGTTCAGAGCATTGGAATTCATCGTTAAAAGATGAGCGATCGACATATTTGCATGTAGGCGAAGTATCAGCCATTAAAACTTCATGGTTACTATTTCAGACGATAGCTCAACTTTTTTCTTTTTTTTTAGTTTGCGATTTTCGCAACATCATCAAGGCACACGATTCGAACTGCTTCATCATTTTGATTTTTGCGCGCAAAAATCTTTCCGCCGGCCGACCACACGAAACGCCATCCCACTCTGCGCTTTTGTGTGATGGCCACTCCAAGTAATTTTTTGTTAAGACTCGTGAGGTGCTCGTTGACATATATGGGGCAGGCAGTACCCCCATAATCAAGCGACGAAGTGGTTAATTTATGCTTTTTGGCCTTTTCCAGGACCATGTTCCTCTTTGTGCGGTGGACAAAACGCACGATAATGTTTTTTGTGTCCTGCCTAAACGTTGGCACGCGATGGCAGACGTCGATGTCAGAGTCATTTACTGGTACATCAATAAGACTGCAGATTCGTTTAACAATGTCAGTAGGGTCCCCCTCCAATGGTACTCCTTTGATTTCTATGTTATTTGATCTTTGATATTGCTCCAGTTCCTCGACCCTTGCGTTGAGTCTGCAGTTTTCTGCATCGAGTTCTTGGTTGCGCGCTGTTAGTTGCTGTATTTCTTTCCTCAGTTCTTTCATTTCATTTTTGATGTCCTTGACACCATCACATGTATCGTTACAGAATTTCACACTCTCCTTCAGTCCTCGCATATCTGCCCGGATTTCACGGCGGAACTCGTCTAGCGCCTTTACCAGGTCTTTTTGGTCGTCCTTTCCCATTTTAGGTTTCAGAAACCACGATCACTAAACACAAAAGGCACAAATAACAGTGGCAGCAGCTGCGGCAAAAATATCTGGCAAGGATTCACATGGAAAGATCTTGCAAACCTGTAAGATGGCGTAGCAGGGGTTTGGCACGTTGCTTCAGTGCCGCGCTGCTGCCAAGTGACCGGATGGTGAAAGGTGTCGGTTCCAGCAAGGCTTGGTCCCCTGGTGTCAGACAGTGGTCCGCCAATCGCAGTTCCGTTGGCCCTTGTTGATAGCGGTGTCACACGGCACGGCACGTTTCGCTGACTCAGTAGAGTAGGGTTTGATGATAGGTATCCTGTAAGATGGCGTAGCAGGAATTAGGCACGTTGCTTCAATGCCGCGCTGCTGCCAAGTGACCGGATGGTGAAAGGTGTCGGTTCCAGCAAGGCTTGGTCCCCTGGTGCCAGACAGTGGTCCGCCAATCGCAGTTCCGTTGGCCCTTGTTGATAGCGGTGTCACACGGCACGGCACGTTTCGCTGACTCAGTAGAGTAGGGTTTGATGATAGGTATCCTGTAAGATGGCGTAGCAGGGGTTAGGCATGTTGCTTCAATGCCGCGCTGCTGCCAAGTCAAAGTTGTGCCAAGTTGACCCGGACGCCCTTATGAACATAGCTACTGCCATTCTATGGACAAGTGACCGCCGTTTTTTGCTGTGTTATTTTATAGCCGTCGTTTAATTTTTAGAGTCACTTTATTGCCTCTAATGTTTGGCACTGGCACAGGAGGCGTTAAAATGACAATCAAACGGCATTTAGCGTTTTTATTGACAAGTGTTTATAAAATATCTGTATATCATTTTATTGCCATTTTTACAGTGTCACTTTATTGCCTCTAATGTTTGGCACTGGCACAGGAGGCGTTGAAATGACAATCAAACGGCAAAAATAAGTGTTTTTTTATTGACAAGACAAATGGCAAAAGAACATTTTAGCATTTTTATTGATAAGTGTTTATACAATATATCATTTTATATTCATTTTATTGTCAGTCTGGTACCCTCGAATGCAGCGCAATATTGGCCACCTCCTATAATATGGTAATGTTTTTTGAAAAGCATATTATTGGCAAATGGCAGGTGTCTACAAGTAGTCAAACAGCAGGCTAGATGTTAATTATTATTGAGACATCATCCTGTTGACCCGGATACCCCTCTAAACATGGCTACTGCCATTCTATGGACATGTGACTGCCGTTTTTTTGCTGTGTTATTGTATAGCCGTCTAATTTTTATAGTCACTTTATTGCCTCTAATGTTTGGCACTGGCACAGAAGGCATTAAAAAGACAATGAAATGGCAAATTTGTTTGAAGTTCTTTATTGACAAGACAGATGGCAAAAGAACATTTTAGCCTTTTTTTTGATAAGTGTTTATAGAATATCTATATTATTTTATAGCCATTCTATTGGCAGTCTGGTACCCTCGAAGGCAATGCAATATTGGCCACTTCCCATAAAATGGGAGGTGGCCTATATGGTCAAAGGCATATTATTTGCCAATAATATGCATTTTGAAAAGCATATTATTGGCAAATGGCAGGTGTCTACAAGTAGCCAAACAGCAGGCTAGATGTTAATTATCATTGAGACATCATCCTGTTGACACAGATACCCCTATGAACATAGCTACTGCCATTCTATGGACATGTGACTGCCGTTTTTGCTGTGTTATTTTATAGCTGTAGTTTAATTTTATAGTGTCACTTTATTGCCTCTAATGTTTGGCACTGGCACAGGAGGCGTTAAAATGGCAATCAAACGGCATTTAGCGTTTTTATTGACATGTGTTGTTAGAATATGTATATCATTTTATAGTC